TTCTGGTCACTCATGGATTATCCAGGCGACTGATCTATTGTCTGCTTTATTCCATGCCTTCTGGATCTCCAGCTAGAGCAGACTCATACATGAGTGATTCTGTGGTCCTGCCAACATTTCTAGAGGAGGAGACGTGCACTGTGCCACTTAGTCTACTTTGGCAGTTGACCACTGTCACTTTCATACGTGGAGCTCAAAATCAACTTCTCCATATTGCCACACTAGTTAACATCAAAGCTCCTTTCAGGCCAACTTGTTGCCACCGAGACTAAATATTAAGACGACATTTCAATGAGATGAGAGAATCCTGTTTGTAGTCTGAACATCAACTATTTGACTTATTTAGAGATGTGAAGCTTTACAAAGTGAGTGTTAACATCTATTGAGGGGAAGAGGAGGAGTACTGGCAGCTCTGAGACTATGCGGAGATGCAGTTTGGAATCACAAGTTTTTACCTTCTGTTGGCTGACTATGGTAATAAGTCGAAGAGTATGTTACTTAAAGAGGTGCATCTCTTAGTAGTTTTGGATTTGCTATTGGTTTTCATTGAGTGCTGCCTTGGCATTTGAAGATCTCATTGTGACTTACCTCTGGAAAGCTGAGTAACTGAACTTGTATGAAAACCTGTGACAGAATTACTTGCTTACTGACTCTTTGAACTGAAAGGAATTTCTTTGAAGATCCTTTGAAAAGATATGGCTGAAGGTGACGTTTCACCTCAGTTGAACCTTGGGTGTGGACATAATTGCACAAAATTGGTTTTGAAAAAGTTGTAATAATAGCTGCAGTGCTAGTTAGTTAATGGATTTAACTCTGTAAGGTTATTGCTCCATCCAGACAGCTAAAAGGCAAAGCATGTGGTGGAGTGGAACAGGAGATGCAGCAGTAACTCTTCAGACACAAATCTTCAGGCCAGATGGCAAAAGTATACTTACATTCAGATGCTCAAGCCCCTTGTCAGATTCGTTGTCCTGTAACCTCAGAGGATTTGTTATGCAAGTACCTTTTTTTCCTGTTTGTAAGGCAGAAATCACAAGCTACCCCTATTAGGACGTGGGAAAAGAATATGCAGAATTGCTTGTGTCAATATCAGTGATAGAATCACAGAATGTTTTGGGTTGGAAGGGAACTCAACAAAAAACCATCTAGACCACCCCCCCTGCCATTGGCAGGGAAACCCTCCACTACACCAGGTTGCCCAAAGCCTCATCCAACCTGGCCTTGAGCATTTCCAGGGATGGGGCATCTACAACTTCTCTGGGCAGCCTGTTCCAGGGCCTCACCACCCCCTGAGTAAAAAATTTCTTCTTTAGATCTAATCTAAATCTGCCCTCTTTCAGTTTAAATCCATTGCCCCTTGTCCTATCACTACACGCCCTTGTAAAAAGTCCCTCCCCAGCTTTCCTGTAGGCCCCCTTTAAGTACTGGAAGGCTGCTATAAGATCACCCTGGAGCCTTCTCTTCTCCAGGCTGAACAGCCTCACCTCTCTCAGCCTTTCTTCGTAGGAGAGGTGCTCCAGCCCTCGGATCATCTTCATGGCCCTCCTCTGTACCCGCTCCAGCAGCTCCATGTCCTTTTTGTGCTGGGGACCCCAGAGCTGAACGCAGTATTCCAGGGTGGGGTCTCACAAGAGCAGAGTAGAGGGGCAGAATCCCCTCCCTCGACCTGCTGGCCACGCTTCTTTTGATGTAGCCCAGGACGGTTGGCTTTCTGGGCTGCCAGTGCACATTGCCAGCTCATGTTGAGCTTCTCATCCACCAACACCCCCAAGTCCTTCTCCTCTGGGCTGCTCTCAATCCATTCTCCACCCAGCCTGTACTTCTGCTTGGGATTGCCCTGACCCACGCGCAGGACCTTGCACTCGGCCTTGTTGAACTTCGTGAAGTTCTCAAAGGCCCACCTCTCCAGCCTGTTAAGGTCCCTCTGGATGGCATCCCTTCCTTCCAGTGTGCCCACAACACCACACAGCTTGGTGTCATCTGCAAACTTGCTGAGGGTGCACTCGATCCCACTGTCCATGTTACCAACAAAGATGTTAAACAGCACTGGCCCCAATAGCAGATACTCGTTCTGTACTTTTGGAATATCTGAAAAGGACTCACACAGGTGTGGAATATTCAATACTGTGGTGAAGGATGAAACAAATTTTCCAACTATATGCTGTTGTTTTTTTTCTAGTGTGTTTGCTTTAGAAATCGTCAAATTACAACGATTGGCTTGTCAGAGGAGACACTGACCCAGAAGTATAAGACTGAATTTATACTTGAATTTTGGTTTTATCGCATGTCTTTTCTACCCCTCTGATTTTCCTTTTGTGTGATGTTTTTTTGTTTTGTTTGTTTGTTTTGTTTTTAAGAATTACACTTAAATACATGTTACCTTGTTAAAATAACTTCTGGCTGTTGTGTGTCATAGGTACTTTTTGCTGTGTGTGAACTACTTCTTTTACGGAGAGACCGTAGCTGATTACTTTGCTACATTTGTTCAGAGAAGAGAACAGCTTCAATTCCTAATTCGTTACCACAGGTTTATATCTTTTGCACTCTATTTAACAGGTAAGCGTAGGAAATGGCAAGAATTAAAGAACTTTGTGCTGCATTAGTTTCTGTGCTTATTTCTTTTTTTTAAAAATAATAATTGCTCCCCAGCTTTATGCACTTTCGGTTTCTTTTTCCTCTTGATGTTCGAGGAAATGAGATGTTCGCAGTTCCATTTTACCTGTGAAAGGTGAATATAAATTTTGCATTACACTGAGAAGACGAAAGCAGCCTAAACAAGTAGATGATCTTGAGAAAGTTGAGCTAATAGTGCTCAAGAGAAGTTGGCATGAATTAATTTTGATTGCTGAAGAACTGGGGCTCGGTGCCTGACTACATGAACGCTATTTTGGCAGTCCGTGGAGGTGACTTGTGTGTGTAATTGCTGTGCTGGGTTGATGCTTTATTGTGCAAGTGTTGTGCTAGGTCTACTCATATATTTTGAAGTGATTGTTCAAAATGCCTGAAGGCTTTGTTTTATCTTCAAGAAATTCAGATGATTGCCTCATGGATAGATTTTCCTCTCTATGCAAAGAAAGACTTTTTAAAAGCCTCTTCTCTGGGAAGAGTAGACATAAGCTGGCAGTCCTGTGGGGTATTGCTTTGTGAATATGTAAATACAGTCCACGGTGTTTCCAGCAATGCAGTTAATACTACTTTAGACTAAAATTAAATCAATTGGAGAGTCAGATTGGCCCAAGGAACAGAAGACTGCTGTGCTACAAATTCTTATTAAGTATGTTAAGAAACCTGATCTTCATGATGAGCTGTCAGTCTGCCTACCGTTAATATTTTTTTTTTTTTTTAAACCAGTTGAAAATTCTACTTGCTGCTTAGATGGCAAACTTGAAACCAGCTTTTCCAGACTTGACTTTTTTCAGCTGGCTTTGGCTTGAGGAAACTAACTTAACTAATTCCTTGTGACCGCTGAAGGGCAGTCAGGGCAGAGAAGAGACAAGCCAGTCATGAGCAAAAGCAGGAGACAGAGCATAGCAGAGCCCCTTGGTGACTGTCACGTTGGGATCGTGGGGTCACTGAGGGGCTGTCTCCAGGGTTAAGGGTCTTCTGAGGCTCTGACCACTGCTGGCACAGGAAGTTGCCCCGGGGAAGAAGAGGTGCTCTGTTAGCCACCCAGGGTGCTTTTTTAGTCAGTTGAGTTCTCCAAGGCCTGTACTTCACACTGTGTTGCATGCAGCCATATTCCTGTCTGGGGGAAAGGGGCAAGCTGGTCTTTCCCTTTTAATTATTCAAAACCTGTCGACCTGGGTTTTGAGTGGTTTTCAAAGGTGATGGTCTCCTTCCCTAAAAATTGATGTCTACAATGGGACCTTGTAAGCGATGAAATGGATGCTTTTTACTGGTGTTAATTAAATCTTATTCTCTGATGAAAATAATTCTATATGTACGCTTAACTGAATACAAGCAAACGCTCGTAGCAGCTGCTTCAAGGGAAGAGAATTACTGGTATATCACAGTTCAGTGTAATTAAATGTAAGATGGTACAAACTACACTTGCTTTGTTTTACAGGCTTCTGCATGTTTGTTTTGAGTTTAGTGAAGAAACATTATCGTCTGCAGTTTTACATGGTGTGTATTACCCACTTTGCTGTGGTCACTCACGTTATGAATGTCACTAGAAACAGTCATGTCCTTGTGTTCATAAAGTAGCTTGAAACAGGGGTGTGGAAAATGTGTTTAAACTGACAGTAATATGAAATCAAGGGGTGTTGAGCTGTTCAGTATCTGTTCACCTTGCAGCTTATTATTATTATTATATCATGGGATGTGGCCTTTCAGTCACTACAAGCTGTCATTGGTGAGACCTTGTGCATGTACAATGTGATGCATTTCCTTTAGCGACAGGCTGATAGGAAGGAGATTCCTGGAGAAACGGGTCTATGTTTCCCTCCCAGGTCTGAAGCCAAATAGTTCAGCATAGTGTGGGAAGTGGTTCTTGTGACTCAGGTGTTACTTTGTAGAGGTCCTACTGAAGTACTATGAAGGGAACTTGATCTTAACCCCCTATGTGGAAGGTGTATTCTGTGACACTTCACAGCAGTTCTAGTCTTCTGCTCTGCTGTGCCTCAATAGATCATTAATCTATTAAAATAAACCAGTGTTATCATCTCTTGTATTCATTCACCTAATAAACAACATAGTAGCTAATCAAGCTCATGAACCTTTTTTTCATATGTGTCTTATAGGTCAAACACTAATTTTGTAACATCACAGGTAAAAACAAAACAAAACAAAAAACCTATCCAAACCAAAACAAACTGAACAAAACCCACTGAACTCCCCCACTTCTATATAGGAAGGATTAGAAGCAACAGTAATGCAGTACAGCTCCTGTCTTTAGAGAACTTGAGCAGTTAGGCCATCGCACAATCTTAAAGATTTCCTAAAGCTCTGGGTGTGCAGTTGACCCCTCCGTTTCTACAGTGCTTTAGATGGCACTTCACTATTGAAAGTCCCTAATTCTAGACTAGGACTTAGCTGAGCCCATGAGTATGAGCATGTAAAAATATACTTTACTCAAAAGTATTTACTCAAGGGGAACTTGCCTGATAGGGAGATGCAGCTTTTCTAAGAGAGATGGCCTTTATTTTCTTCTTTATAATTTGCAAAAATAGTCCTCATCTTCAGAGTGACACAAGGCAAATATATTAATTTACCACGATTTTTTTTTTTTCCTTTTTCCCCTTCTGGAAAGAAGGCAGATAAAAATGCAGTGTCCTTCATATGACTTAGCGCCTGCCCAGAAAACGTTAAAGTTTGACTACCTAAGAATTCCTGTAAAACAGAGGGAAGTCGTGTATCCACTGTGTGGCAACATAGTGTTTGGGCAGGCAAGGAGAGTAGCCATTTGTTTTTAGGTGGTGTTCCAGTAGCACTGTACAAATACTGAAAATTTTTCTGTAGAGATGCTTTACCTAACCATCAGGTAATATTTTCAGAAACTTTTAGTCAGTGATTGCACCCCCCCTTTCAGCCTTCTTGAGTTGTCGTAACTGGAAGTAGGTGCTGGCTGCCATAGAAAACACATGAGATAAGGGAATAAAAGAAGTAGGACATCCTGAGTATTAGCAGACGTAGACGTTTAGAGTACTTAAAATTGGTGTTTCATGGGAAAACTACTAGTTCTTGATTTAAAAGTTTTTGGAAGATGAAATCTATTGTAGCATCTTTACTGGTTTGGAAACTGCTTTATTGTACGCTGACACTACAGAATAAACACCAACTACATACAGTAACACTGAGGAAAATGACTGTAAAAATGACCATGTGCATAAAAATTAACACTTTGTTTTCACTAATCCTGAGAATTTTCATGTTTCATAAGAGGACTGGTATTCTGTTATGAGAGATATCCACATCTGCGTAACATGACTCTTTCATGAGTAGTTCATTGCCATTTTATTGTTACAGTTCTAACATGTCTGTTGTATGTATATACAGAATATCACATTGCTTACATTTCTTTGCTGCTTTCATGCTGAAGGTGTATGTCTTACTAAATCAGGCGTTAAACTGCACGTTAAAAAGTTCTGGGTGGAGGTAAGTGATGGGGAAACCTGCTAAAGTTTCAGTACTTGCTTCAGAAAGCCAGCTAACTTGTGATATACTGTATGCACACATCTCTTGCATTATCACTAGAACTGGCCTTTCCTGTGAGCTCCTAAGTAGCTCCCCTAGCTGACACACCAGTATTTATCAAGGTGTATGGGTCGGTGTTTTCACTAACTGTTGTGTTGTTGCATTGTTAACAGTTCGCATGGACTCATGTCACTTTGCTGATCACTGTAACTCAATCTCATCTTGTCATCCAAAATCTCTTTGAAGGCATGATCTGGTAAGGGGACAGTAATAAACTGATTTGTAACTCTATTGCATTGAAAGGGCGGTTCTTTTACATAGATCTGGTTAGGGAATAATCGTGGGAACAGTTGAAGCAGCACGAATTAAAGGAGCATTAGTGTCTAGTTGGAAGGGGAGTTGCAGGAATTGGGAGTGATGCGAAAGGTTACAGGAGGGGAAGCAGAAACCTCTTTAACTAGATTGGCAGCCAGAAGTATGATGGTTTTGAACAACCACTTCATTTACTTGCAAGGAATAGGATTACTTGTGTGCTTGGTTAGATAGTTTCCATAGCATTTTGCTGAATGGATGAATATCCAGCAATTCTTTCTCAGTTACTTGGGAGCTTCAGGTTGCTCAGAGCTATTGAAGTTGGACCATTTAATCTGAAATCTCCAATGTTACCACCTTCTCTGTTCAGATAAATTCAGATTACTTAAAATATTTTAAGAGTTTATATCTTGGATATTGCTGGATCATCTTAATGCCCAGTTTCCAGTGATACATTAAATTCTGATGATGCAGTTAAACTTGATTACTTAAAACCACTCATCAAAGAGAGGGTGTGTTTTCCCACCCCCCACTTGTTTGGGGACAGGGTAAATTACAAGTTGAGAAAGAAGAAACAAACACTTGGAAAATTATTTGTGTTCTTCCAAGGACATAATACTGCATGCTCTCCTTTCTCTTTTCCTGATATATGTACAACTGGGGAGATTATTGCAGAAAAGACTTGCTCATGGTTAGAAAGAAAACCCAAAACCCTTGACAAAGTTTGTATAAACAAATTCTTTTCATAGTGATCATGTTCACCTGCCAAAAACTGAACCTAGTTGCCTTGCTAGCCTGCTATGTCTTATTTCCACTGGTGCTAGGCAATTTGGCAGATGGTCACAAAATCTGAGTTTTAGCTTATCAATACATCCCTTCTTTGAAAAGGGAACAAAAAGAGGTTAACAGGCTTGAGTAACAAATTCTGATGCTGTCTGCATGCAAAGAACACTTGGAAAGCTAACACAGCCTGCTCCAAACTGACAAGAGTTAAAAAAGGAAATTTTTTTTTTTTCAAATTTAGGTATCGTTAAACTTTACAATGAATTTGCTTGCTTTGATGTTACCAGTAACATTAACGTGTTTATATCTGTTGATTTCTTCTTAACTGTGGTACCAGTCTTCAAGCCTGACAGGAAGAACTAGCCTGTTCGTGTTTTAAGCTCATGCACCAAAAAGATATTTTAACTTGAACTAACGTGGATCTGTAATGGTCTTGATTGGCTGTAGACTAAAACCAGTACAGCTAAGCGTTCTGCTCGTGGGGGAGCTAGGTGAACATGTTATGAAACGTAATTCTTTCTAAATACTACAGAAAAATTTCCTTGAAAGAAATGCTGCTGTTCCGTTTCTGTCCTGTATTTAGATTCGGGCAGCTTTTCTTTTTCTCCATGAAACTTTTAATGTCTTTCTCTAGGTTTCTCGTTCCAATTTCAAGCGTTATCTGCAATGATATTACTGCTTACATTTTTGGGTTCTTCTTTGGCAGAACTCCATTAATTAAGGTATGTACTTAGGTGTTTCCTCACTAACAAGCTTTTATAATTTATAGCATTTTTGATAATTGTTCAAAAAGTTGTTAATACAAAAAATGCTTTCCACGGTACTGCATGATACACGTCTTTGCTAAAAACCCAAGTCGACTATCTTGTTTCTGAAGATTTGTGAATGGAAACTGTGATTAATGTGAAAGCTGTAATTTCAAATAAGCTGCTAGGTCATATATACCCGTTCCTTGTCTGGTCTTGTTGATGTAGCACTGAGAAGGGCTCAAGTGGTAATCTTCCTATTCTGGTAGAATATGCAAAACCCCACAGAAAGCCATGAATTACTATTTTCATGATGTTGCCATGTTAACTTTTGGGTATTTAGTTGATTCTGATATTAAACTGCTCCTAAATTGAAAATGTGATTGAATTTGATGAACAAAATAGCTTACTATGCTAGTCTCCCTAGGCCTGCAGTTATTTGCTGTGTTAGTGTGCCAGTCTGTATGCAGGAAGCTAGTGTCTCCCGAGGAGCGTCCCCAGCAGTAGCTCTCTAACACCCAGGCTTCTGTTGCTATCTAAATGTGCACTTGCTAGCAGAGGTCTCCACCAGAGCCATAACACGCTTTTGCAGGTTTTCAAGTCTGCTTGAAGGACCTCAGCTGCTTACTCAGGGTCAGCTGTGGCCAGAGGCAGGCAGCAGCCTCCAGAAAGCAGCAGCAGATGGGAAGGGAGCTCTCCGCTCCCTCAAGCTGCCCAGTGGCACCAACCAAACTGTGGCACCGTCCCTCCTTGCCTGCAACACGTCCTAGCTGTACTCCTCTATCATGTTCAGTGGCTGCAGCTGCTGATGTTCAGTATTTCACACATACCTTTGAAAATACAAGGAGCAGCTTAATTTTCACAAACAAGGTCCAAAAATAGAGTAAAAAAGGGTTCAGTGATGCAACTGATGAGGCTAACGCTATTTCTTTTGTGCTTAGCTGTCTCCCAAGAAGACCTGGGAAGGGTTCATTGGAGGCTTCTTTTCCACGGTTGTATTTGGATTTATTGTAAGTAGCCACAGGACTTTCCTTGTTATAAGTTCAGTCTTCAACTTCCTGTTTTTACTTCAAGTAAAATTACTGACAAATTTGGACATCTGAAAATGCTGAAAGCCCAAGAGTTAGGGGTTCTTTTGGCTAGAGAATTCTGCCATTTTGTTACTAGCTGGAAAGGCTAGGCAAGGCTTGCACCTCTCCTGAATAGGTTATATTGACCATTCTTGCCATTGCTGTTACTGTATCTGGAATTGTTTTATCTGTTAGTTGCATCCATATTTTGAAATTTAAGTTTATTGATAGCGTTATTGATGCTTTGTAAAGTAATACTTTTGTATTGCATCCTTTATAATGACGTTTCTCTGGAGAAGTAGTTTACACTGATGATATGCATAGAAGATAGTAACAGCATACAGTAACTGTTACGATAAGTAATTTCTCACCAAGGTCAGCAGAACTTGTAACTGCCAAAAGTGGTAGAAGCGATAGTTCAGTGAACTGCAAAGAAATGATGAGTGGCTAACGTTTTGGGATTTTATAATGCAGAAACGTCCAGTAGATATGAATCTGAGAGACATGAAAAGTTGAGAAATCATCACTAAGTGCATTGAATGTCCACATTTCTCTGCCTTGTTGAGGTATTCTTCAACTTAAACAGGCCGATTTTTTTTTTTTTCTGGGTTTCTTTCTTATTAAAATGATTTTCATTATCCTTAGCTTTCAATGGCAAAACCATCCATTACAGTATGATTTTTGACTGTAACAAGGAATGCCTATTTCAGGAGTCCTTGTTTTGCTTTTCAGTTTTCCTATTTTTTGGCTCAACATCAGTACTTTGTCTGCCCTGTGGAATATAACAGTGAAACCAACAGATTTGTGACAGAGTGTGAACCTTCAGAGCTCTTTCAGATGAAGAAGTACTCTGTGCCACCATTGCTTCAGGCTGTGTTGGGATGGGTAAGGAAAAAACAAGGCTTTGGTTAAAATTGAAACCATACTTCCCAGCTTGAATGGTTTTCTAAACCTTTTTAGGAAGATATATGAATGCTGGTAAGGCTTGAGGGGTAAGAACTGAATCAATAACATGAGTCTCTCTGTTGGTGAGATGGGAAAGGTGGTCACCCAAGCAGAATTGAAATGCATTGCTGGAGTCACTTGTGGAAACCCACCTGTGTTGTGGCCTGTATTCTCTTTGTGCTGGAAATGAATGTCACTTTAGCGTTTTGCAGACAAACCTATTTTGAAGAGCAACTTTTACATATTTGTGGAAGGTGAGCAAAGTCTTGTCATGGCCCAAATTAGTAGCAAGCTTAAGTTACCTTGTAGAACTTCATTCAGTTTTCAGCTAGTGTGTAACTGCTGTTAGGATTGGACTCGTACTTTCTTCATGGCATAACATCTTGTGCATTAGTGCCACGACTTCTGTGCTGCGTGAAAAAGGAGTACCAGTAATAGTTCCACACAAAGTAGTCACCGACCCTTTTCTGCACACCCAGCCTGCAAAGTCTTTTAAAGTCAGCTGTTGTATCTTTACCTGTCAGGAAATAGGTCAATTATCCTACCATACAAAGCAGTGCTTCCAAAGTCACAGGCTCCGGAGGCTCTCCAACAGGAAGAGAATACCAAATAGAAACAAACCTAAGACCAAGAGTAATTAACGGCTACAGTTGGTACTTAGAAAAGCAAGATCACATCTAGAAGGAGCTCTGATACTTTCATACCAACTGAACATACAGTTGCTTCAGGGCCTGTGAGGTTGATTGCAAATTTAATAAGGATTTTTCAGCACAGAAACATAATGTGGACTGAGCAGAGAGCAATCTTACTGTGTCAAAGCTATGTTGTGTATTTTGATAAAGGGCAAGGAGATGGGAACGCCCAGCTCTGTGCTAGTCAGTTAACCCTAAAAAGAGATGGTTGTTCCACATGCACTTCCAGAGTGCTTTTGCCAGGCTTTCAAAAACCTTTTGAGGAGAGAACTAGTTTTAGCACTCTTTCTATAAAGTGAAATTGAATCTACTTGTTTGGGCAACTGCCTGGTTTTGGTTTTCCCTCTGTTACTCAGTTCCTGATGTTCTCTCTCCGAAATACGACCAGATGTTATGTTTGGAAGACATTTTGCTTGGTGTCAAATGATGTCAAGTTCTCTCAACAAAATTGACTTAATAATTCTAACTCAGACTTTTCTGTTTGACCAACTGGGTAGTTTAGCCTAAAAGAAAAGTGCCGTAAGACAACTGCACAAAGTAGTCAAGAAGTTAATTGGTGTTGGCCAGCTGTGATGCAAATCAGAAAGACAAGGTACAGGAATTTTCAGCTACAGATGGTGTTTATCAAGACTTGCCAGGTGAGGCGTGCTCTGCTCTCAGGGATAAGGCCAGCATAGCATTCCCTCAAAGGCTGGAGCTTGTACCATTGACTTAAAGTGCTCAAAGCTAAGTTACAAAATACCCAAAACCCAGAAAACCCAAACAAACAAACAAAAAAAACCCAATCAAAAAAACCCAACAAAGCCAAAACACCCCAATCAACAAACCCCCACTTTTTTCTAACCAGTGTAAGGAAGGAAAAGAGGTACCTGTTGCCAGTGAAGTCTCTTATCTGTAAAAACTTGAATGGATCAAAACAGATTTCAAGGCTGTGAACAGGCTGAGGAGAGCAATATCTGTTTAAGTGCAAACCAAGAAGTATTAATGGGGGTGAACCACCTGTCTGCCATTGTTTGCCGTGTAGACACGAGGGTGACAATGTGGCAGACTAGTGCAAAATTCATACCTGTCTTGTGAGAGCACTTGAAGGAGGTGACAGAGAGTTGCGTGAAGGGGACAAGTTTGTGGAGAGCATTGGCCCACTTCCTAGAGCAAGACTAGGAATTTGTGGAAGGCTCCTTTGCTTACAGGAAAAGGAGCTGGACAACAGAGCCAGGAAAGACTAGAGAGTCCCATCGTATATTCCAGAATTAGTAGTTATATTCCCTATGATCGACTAAGGGATTGGCTGAAAACCACATTGTTTCTTGAAGGTAACTGCCCTAGTAACCCCGAATACTTGTTCCTGTTCCTCTGACTAGACCTTTCAGCAGCTTTCTACAGTGTGTCTACTTTTCCTTTCTTTACAGTATTACTTTGTGTCAGAAAAACTGGAGCTTTGTGGACATTTGCTCTGTAACAGCCCCATTTTAAAATATTTAAGCTTAAAATGCCTGCAATGAAACTTATTGAAATACAGTGCTAATTATGTTTCTTGTAGGAAACAGTGAATATGTACCCATTTCAGATGCATAGCATTGCCCTGTCAACTTTTGCCTCATTAATCGGGCCATTTGGAGGATTCTTTGCAAGTGGATTTAAAAGAGCTTTCAAAATCAAGGTGCGTGATGACTCCTGTAAGCCAGTTTTGTTCTGGTTTTCTCTTTGAATTACATAAAATGGCAGGTTGGGATAGGGTGGGATTTTTAATGGTTCATTGTAGTACCTAATGTTTCCAGTAAGGTGTGATGATGTTGGAGCTGGTTTTAGCAGCAGCAGCACTTAGTTTTATCGGCTATATGAATGTGTTATTCTTAAAACTTTGCGTAATCAACACGTGACTTGAGTGTTGGAAATTTACGCATAGTTCGGTTTCACGTTTTGTTTGGTCGATAATTGCTCTTCCAAGTCACGTTGCTGAAGTGGTTTAGGCAAGGAAGACGTGCGATATCCTTGTCATAAAAGGCAGTCCCCCTTCAGATTGTGGCTGGCTGTGTTTTACCCATAGTATTTGTGTCGTACGCAGATGCCGACTCGCCAGGTTCACCAAAGCATGAGATGTTTGGCTGCCTTTGCCAGTACAGTGCCACCTTGGCACAGGAGAGTGTGTTGGCAAACGATGTGATGTGCTAACCTCTGTTTATTGCAAGGTGTGCGCTGTCGCTTGTGGCAGTGTTGTCCCTGGCTGGTATTAAGTGGCAGCAGGAGTATGGGAAGAGGGCAGCCCCAAATTTTCTCCCGACCTCCTTTGTGTCTTGGTAGGACTGCCGTAATTCTTATCCTGTTGCTTGTTCTTGGTCTTGTTGTTGTTCCCTATGTCCACCAGTTTTGGCATTGCAAATGCTTTGCACAGAAGCATATAAACCTCTCTGTTTGTGCTGAACTCCCATACATGTGCTTTTTCTTACGCCGGTCCGAGCAGCTTGTCTGGCACTTTGCTAGCTACAGCCTCGTGCGCTGTCATACCTGTGGCCGGGTAGCAAAAAGACTGTTTGTGTGAAGAAGGGCTTTTGGGGGAAAAACAAGCTTCTGAAAAGCAGCACTTATTCTTAAAGTAGAACTTTAAAAAGTAGATTTTTTTTTTTTTAATACTGCTGGGCCCCAAGGTGCTGTTGGGAAGACAGGGATATTGTGGAATTGTTACTGAAGGCAGCTCATAGGTTGGGTTAGACACTCCATGCCTGCCCAGTGCTGGAGGGCTGGAGTGGCACCGGCACGGGACTGGTTTAACTTGCTGGCGGTCGCCCCATGTGAGTAAGGTCAGGGTTTTCACCCAGTGAGTACACAAGTGAGTGTGGATGTCAAAAAGGATCTATGAGGGCAGTTTGGCTGATACAGCTATTCTGCAGACATGACTGGCTAACACAAAGGTAGCGTATTGAGCTTTGCATCAGAAATATTTTTCTTTAAAGTAGTGAGAACTTTTTCACTACAGGTTTTTTTTTTGATTCTGTTAAATATGTTTATACTGTATGCAGACATTATGGTTTTTAACCACAGTTACCAAGACCACAGTGAAAAAACCAGCAGGCGAATGAGTAGTATGACAGTGTTAGACAGTGGAAAGAGTCCTCAGGTTACTGCTTCTCTGGTAGCAAATATGTATTCCCTGGTAACAAGTGCTTCAGCAGCAGCTGCCAGTAGAGGATAAAGCACTAAAAGCATTAAAGAGGAGAATTAGATTCTGCAGAGGCAAGAAAAAACAGCCATTAGCTGAAGAGGCTTGCTACAAAATGAAGTTTGTGTAGGCACACAAGTGTACTCAGTACTGGCAAACCTGCGCCTGACCTGCTGCTGTCCTCTGGTGGGATACAGGGGACAAGTTGCTTCATCTCTTCCTTTTCTTCTCACCCCTTGACTCCCTTTTGCGGTTAAAAACTTCTTTAGCAAAGGCGGCTCTTGCTAACCTTTGGCCCAGTGCAGTGAAACCGTAGCTTAATTGCGGCCTTAATGTGCTGCTGTCAAGCGATGCATCGTTAGTGTGTTTCATTGGAATCACTGACTTTTTTTTTTTTTTTACTTTTTTTTTCCCCTCCCTCTCTCCCCGTCCTTCACACCCAAAAGGATTTTGCAGACACAATCCCTGGGCACGGTGGGATAATGGATCGCTTTGATTGTCAGTACTTGATGGCCACTTTTGTTCATGTCTATATCACCAGTTTCATAAGGTATGGGATCGTTACGATATTAACTACCTTCAGCTGTACCATAGTTACTTCATACGAGTTATGTTCCACACTGTTAGCGTAGCACAGATTGCAGGTTTCTAAATTTTCTAAATCTGATTTATGCAATAATTTCAAATACGGAACTATTAAGAAAACGTATCTATTTTTATAACCTATAGAAAAACATTTGTGTGAGGTTCAAGCTGTGCCTTAATATTTCTCTAACTGCTGTTTAAAGGTAACCTGTGTACCCTAAATACCAGAAAGTTTTGTGTAGCAGCCTTTTAAAAGTTTTACTAGAATTTACTGATTACAGGGAGGTATGAGGATGCAATTTTGGGCAGGAGGGTTGCTGCAGCATCTGCTTTCCCTATGTGGTTCCTAAAGAGCCTGTAGATTGCGAGGTTGCAGCTCTTCCTGTAAACTTCAGTATTTCTCAGGCACTTGATTTGGGATTTTCTTTTTAAGATGAAAACACTCTGGTTAAAGAGAGGAGACGGCTTCTTAAAAGTACTGCTCGTCTTCCCTGAACCACACCAGCTTTCAAGAAGAAATCCTGGCAATGACAATTCTCTTACAGTTAGTCACTTTAGTTCCTGGGATAGAGAGGGATCAAGGGGCTGAGGTGTCCAAACTGATATATGCCCTTAGTTTTGTAAATGCATGTGGCTAAATAATTATTAGATACCTAATTGTCAACAGATTCTTTGTCTTGTATTAAGTCCATCTTAAAAGCAGAATGTAAATAAGTGACTAGCTAAAAATGAGGCTGTTATTTAGAAAAGTTTGGTTTAATTTGTGGTTTTCTTTACTGATTTGGCCAACTTTCTGTTTAGTTCAATAGTACACAGCTTATCTGGCAACAGACACCAAACTAAAAAAGATCGGTTGTTGAAAAATGTTGATTACAGTGAATAAGGATGAATCAATGAATCTTATTTGTCATAAGGCGCCTTAATATCCTCATTTGACAGCAAATACAAGAAATGCTTTTTAGTTTCTGTTTGGATTGAGCTAAGGAGCATGTATGCTTTGCCAGAAATGCTCAGCCATGCATGCTGAGGAGATAGACTGGGAGAAATCCATAACTTGATGTCCCCCAAAAAGGGAAGGCATTGTTTGTGCAGCAAGAGGAAAACAGAAAGCTGTCAAAAAGTTTCTTCAGAGCTGCTGCTCACAAAAAAATTTCTTTTTTCATTAACAGGGGTCCAAATCCCAGCAAATTACTGAAACAGCTGTTGATACTTCAGCCTGAGCAACAACTAAGCGTGTATAAAACCCTGAAATCTCACCTTGTCGAAAAAGGGATCCTGCAGCCATCTCTGAGAGGGTAGTTTTTTAAAACAGAGGACTAGAAGAAGCCTCCATTTGTAAGAAGTCTGTGAAAAAGCATTGCAAATGTGCACATAGATAACAGCTACAGGAAGAGTAGTTTGTGGTCTGGAAAAGGTGAATGTTTCCTGACATGAATGTGAATGCTACGACTTCCTATTACGACACAGAAGATCTCCGACTCCTAAAATAATTAAAATGCTTGCAGAGTAACAGTACACGTGCTGTATATTTTAGTTCCTGAAGGGGATGGCAGCAGTCTTCCTTCAGCACCCAGCCTGACAGGCTTTGCATTTAAAAAAAAAAAAGAAAAAACACCGTCAGTTTTTAATGAGTTATTTAATGTTGTTTATCTTAGCAATACGTTTTTGGTCTCCAGTGGTTACTGAAGCGTAAACAGATGAGGCAGGCAGTCACTTTTATGTAGCCCAGTGCTGAAATTACAGTTGGCCAGAAAATACTTGTTAGCCTGGTCAAAGGGGTACTTGCAGCCTGCTGTATCAGACTACCTTTATTTACTAAATCGCTATGAAGGCTGTACTTAGCTCTGTTTTTAATTAAACAGCTTTCTTACAACACTGTTTCATGCTTTCAAGAGAAAGGTACCTTTACTGAAGTATAGCTGGGCTGTTTGGGCTGTGGAGCTGCTATTTTTTTTGGTTAATGTTACGGATTATAAACAAGTGTCTACATCCAAGTGTAGAGATTACCTGAGAAAATGGGATTCTCCAACGTGGTAAACAGATTGGGGAGAATCTGGAGTTTAAGCCCTCAGTTTCCACGGCCTGATCAGTGTCTGAAGACAGTAATTCAAGCCTTATTCCTTGTGCCTCTTAACTACTGCATAGAATGGGGGTAATCCCTTCTTTTTAAAAGCACTCCGGGGTCCTGAGTAAAAAGCGAAGTTTAAGTGCTGTTTTATTAACGTGTTACTCAGTGAAGGCAGAAACTTTTATTTCATGAATGTGCACAGTGCAAGCCAGGACGCATGGTTCTTCTGCTGCGTGTTATTATTTATTCAGAAGATCCTCAGGTGAGCTTGGGGAACCACATAGGTGTTTGAACGGAGAATTTTTATAGAAAGCAGCTATTTTGTAGACTTAGTGGGGCATATGAGGAAAGCTGATGCTCTGTAATTCTCAGTCCTAGCTGTTTTCTAACTTTTTTCATCGTGACACGTCTTGATGCAAATAAAAATATAAACTTTTTTGGAAATGACAAAAATGACTCCTGTACAAACAGAAAGCACAAATGCCGATTTTGTTTTGGTATACTGTAACTTGATACAATTTAATTTTTCCAACTAATTGTAAATAAGTTTCTCCTGCAGTGAATGTACCAATGCCACGTGTGTCTGTGTATATATATATAAAAAATATTAAGAAGTGTATGTATATAGATATTAAAGGTGAAAATTTTAAACGGTTGGTGCTACTTGAGGGTAAAACCATGGAGAAAATCACTAGGGTGTGTGATAAGCTGTATCTGTAAAATTCAGACAGCTTTTTGTTGAACGCCACGCAGCTGAGAGCACCGTGCACTCTGTTTTGCACTTAGGCCATGGCAACGTCTGTACAACAGGAAAAGCACCCCTGTACGTGGCTATGGAATGAAATCCAGGTCCAAAGGAATTCCTGTCCATGTCAGGTGTTTGACAGAATTAAATTGTGTCTGACCTGAAGATTGCAGTGCTGTTTTGAAGGAACACTCCAAGAGGTGAAGAATGTCGCCAGCTGCTTGTCCGTCGGTGGCTGTGCGACTTTGCTTGTTAATTGGAGGGGACTGGATTTCAGCCCTTCCACCGGGAGGGAAGCATAGCCTGAGGTTCAAAGGTAGCACAGGCAGGGAGTGGGGCACGTGGAAGGGTGCTTTAAAAAGAAGGGAAGGGAAAATGAGAGGGTGACCAAAGTAGCAAACCTCAAAAACTAACTTTTAGATGAGGCTTTGGTTATGTACAGGGCTTTGATAGATGCTTATGAAGAAACAAAACCGTACTGAGGCTGGCATAGCTTTATCCTGGGTATTTAAAAAAAAAAAAATTGAAAATTATGTATAGAGTATATATAAAGGTAATTGTTACTTCAGAAACTTGAACTTTTTAGTGTAATTTTATAGCATGTATAATAAGGAAGTTAAAATATATTTTAGCGTTTAATACAACAGAGCATTTGAAATGAATTGCTATCTATTTGCACAATAGAAAGTTCAACACTGCAGTTCTGCTTTTCAGTGTTAAAATGAAGAAGGGATCACTGGTGAACTCACTTGTCAATTTTGTGGACAGAGTAACAGCTTCCTGCTGGCTTAGGCTGGGTGTAAATAAAGCTCGGCAGGACCTGTCGCTGTGAAGTGACAGCTACGCTTGCTTACTATGAGGTGCATTTACCTCACTCGTTACTTCTGTTAGTTCCAGCATCGCAACATGATCAACAGGGAAGGTTAACTTTTACACCAGTGGTTCTTTTCACTTGCACTTTTGTTCCCAGTTGCTAAAATTACCTATTGAGCAGAAAAAAAAATGTATATTATGTAAATATTGTAAATGGTATGAGCATATAGTATCTGTTTTAGTTTGACTGTTTCAATCTTTCATTGAAGCAGGTGTTGTAAAAAAATAAAACTAAAACTGAGACAGAAATTGTCCTGTCTTATTTCCTATAGCATGCACAGTGAGAGGAGATTCCTTAACAAGAATTTATATTCCTTTATATTATTCCTTAAATTGGATTCTTAACAGCGAAGCCTCCTATTCATTTCCTACCTTTTGCACCTCAAGACTTCAAGCCATCCTTGACAGTTGCTGCAAGCAACTTGCACGATGTGCCTCGTCTCCAAAGACAGGCAGACTTGCCATCTTTTCCAAAAGGTGCTCACTTCGACACGCTGTGCTTTCCCTCTGAGTGGGTGACACGCAGAGCACCGCGCCGCTACTGCAGTTACCCGGAGCTGACAATGGGAAAGCGACGTGTTTGCTGCCCTCTGCAATCACTTCACGCAGGAAATACTGCTGCCCGCGGCCTCTGGAGTGCACCAGTGAGAGGCTGGAAGAGGCTGGCACGAGCCTGATCCTGGCTCTCCTGGTGCTCCCCCTGGTTCACAACCAGTAAGAGAGGTCACTCACGCGGGCTGGACCGAACAAGCAGAAGTGCTGCGGTGAGCGCCGCGCCTGCTCAATGGGCGAGCGCCGTTTGTGGGGGATGGCCAGGCAGGACTTCCTCCGGTGTCACAAGGACGGCACTGCTGCTTCTGGCCACCGTTGGTCCCTCTGGCTTCCTCTCCAGGTATCTGCAAAGAAATGGCAGAGAGGGGAGGGTGCGGCAACACCAAGACTGCAGCTCCTGCTTAGGGAGAACTCGGTGACTCCTCTTCCCATCCGGCCACATTCTGCCTCTGGAAACACGACTAATCTTACAGTTTTCTTGGTGTCAGGGCTTGTGAAATTGTCTTGTTTTGGAGCCCCACCTTCCGTTTGCTATTCCTGGCGCTGCTGGCACAGTATTCACTGAGTGCAGGGATGATGGGGTGACAGTTGCCTCTCCCCTGCTTCCTTGTTCCTTCCTTTTTAAGTCTTGGATCTGAGACCCTTCACCTCCTGAAACCTCGAACAAGCCAGATAACAAGTGCATCTCATTTCTGAATTACAAAGATGACTGTAACGTCTGTACAAACACTCACCGTCGGCAAATCGTGTCTGCACTGCACCCCTCCTCGGACTTTAGAAAACTAGTGGAGAAGCACAGAGGGAGGTTTCCCATGACCTGCATCTGCTTCCATCTGAGGAAAGGAAGGCAGAAAGATAGTGGTGAGTTTTCTCCTGCTAGCCAGACAATGTTTTGGACTGTTACTTGCACAGAAACAGGAAATTTTTGCCTTCAACAGACAAAACCCTTTCAAGATGTGCTTGCTGAAGCAGTTGGAAGGAGCTGCTCTCAGGGATACTAGTGTAGCAGTGGACCAGCCTGACAGCCAAAGTAATCCTTGTTTGTGCAGTTGTAGTAGAGGGAATTAGTGACTTGTTTTTTTTTTAAATGTTGACTTCAGTTGTCCGACTTGTACTAGAACCTGCGCATAGCTAAGGTACAAGTGCTCTTTCTCTTGCAAAGAGTTTCTTGATTATAAAATGATTATATCCAGTTCCACGGTTTAGCAATTTCAAATGGCATAAACTTAGACTTAGGTCCTGTATCTGCCAGGATTCTAGAAATAGGAGGTAATTAAGGTCACCCATAAACATAGAATCATAGAATCATTTAGGTTGGAAAAGACCCTCGAGATCATCAAGTCCAACCATTAACCTAGCACTGTGAAGTCCACCATTAAGGAAGTTACCTGAAAGGATGTTGTAGGGAGATGGGAGTCGATCTCTTCTCCCACGTTATGAATGACAGGACGAGAGGGAATGGCCTCAAGTTACGCCAGGGGAAATTTAGGTTAGATATCAGGAAAAATTTCTTTACAGAGAGGGTTGGGAAGTATTGGAACAGACTGCCCAGGGAAGTGGTGAAGTCCCCATCCCTGGAGGTGTTTAAAAACCATGTGGATTTGGTGTTGAGCAACATGGTTTAGGGACCCTGACAGTGCAGGGTGAATGGTTGGACTCGATGATCTTGAGGATCTCTTCCAACCAGATGATTCTATGATTAATGTGCTGCTGAATACTCCAGACATGATTTGTTCATTGCATACATGTTGCACCCTGACTTCCCAATACTGATGCAAAGGGACACGTTTTGATCTCTAAAGGAACAGGTGAGAAAGTCTGATGTTATTAGGATTCCATTAGCACAGACATTTCGTCTGCAATTATGACAAGGCGACGTATTCTCACGAGAAGCCAAAGTATAAAGCTTCAGCCCCATTTAATTGCCACCAGTTTGCTGGCACTTGCCCAAGTTGAGGTGCAAAAGCAACTTTGCTTCCGCAAGCGGTTGCAGCTCCCGTGCAAGGCGTCCGGGCCAGCTGCCCTCACCTCAGCAGGGACTCGAGTTTTGAGCTAATCCCA